TATGATGCGTAGGTCTTGGACTAATCTGTAGGACCCGGAAGGCTTTTTTATTGGAAGGATAGGCGTGTTACATGGGGAATTTATAGGTATAAGGAGACCTTGATTTAGGAGTTTGGTAATTATTGTTTTTATGCCTTTTTGATGAGTTTCTGAAATAGGGAATTGGGGTCTACAGGGATATTGGTTAGGGTCCTTAAGAGAAATGTGGATGGGCGGGTGGTGTGTAGCCACAACTGGGACTGAGATGTCCCAGACAATGGGGTTGACCGGAAGAGGAAAGGTGGGCGGAGCAGGTTCAGGAGGTGAAGGGGCTAGAAGGTTGGCTGAGGCCAGAAGGAGTGAGTGGGAAGTTAGAGGTTCTGGTAGGTGGGGAGGGATGGTTATGGAGGCCCCAAGCTTTGTTAGAATATCTCAACCTAAAAGTGGGGCAGGATAGGATGGGATAATAAGAAAAGAGTGTACAAATAGTATACCTCCAGCAAAGCAAGGGAGGGTTAGAGTTTTGTATGGGCAGAAGGGAGAGCCATCAATTCCCATGACAGAGACCAATGAAGGAACTGTTAAACCCAAGTGGGCAGGCAGTACAGAATAGGTAGCCCCTATGTCCAAGAGGAAGGAGATGGACTTACCCGCTACCTGGAGCATGACCCTGGGCTCATCAAGGGTGATTGGGGTCCCCAAGTCAAGGCGTCTTCAATCTTCTGCCAGTCTGAGAAAGTCGGGGATCTGGATGTCTGGTGGGGCTGACCCTCCACGAGGAGCCGCAGGGGGTAAGCCCTGTCCAGGACAATCTGATCCCCAGTGACCCACCTGTTTGCATTTTGGGCAGGGTTTAGTTGGAGGTCTCGGGTTGGGGTACTGGCTAGCCCAGTGGCCTTCCTTGCCACATTTGAAGCAGGCCCCCAGAGGGGCTGATGGGAGGTTTCGGGTTCCTCCTTTGACTCGGGGCTGTGGTCCAGCCGGCCGCAGGGCTGTTACCAAGGCTTGGGTTTGGAGGGTCGCCTTCTGTTGGAGATATTTTTGGCGGGTTGACTCTGCTGCCTCTTCTCAGGCATTAAAAACTTTAAATGCCATTTTCATCAGATCCCGTATAGGGGTTTGAGGGTCATCTTCAGCCTTTTTTAGTTTAGTTCTAACATCTGGTGCAGACTGGGATATAAAATGTCCAGCCAAGACTGCCACCACAGCAGGGGAGGTGGGGTCTAGTCAGGTATATTGGGTGAGGGCCTCCTGGAGGCAGTTAAGAAAAAGGGCTGGATTTTTGTCAGCCCCTTGGGTTACCTCACAGAGTTTGCCAAAATTTACAATTTTGTTGGACACTGTGTCCATGCCCTGTAGGAGGCATCGGATCATTATGTCTCTCCTGCAATGACCTGGAGCTTCAGGTTGGTAGTCCCAGTTAGGGCCGAGTTGGGAATTGCGTCTTTCCAACTGGGACTGTGGAATCAGCCAAGTGGGTTTGGTCAGCATAATGCCAGGCAGCAGCTTTGATGCGTTCTTGTCATCAGGGGTAAGGGTGGAGGCCATAATGACAGATATGTCATGCCAAGTTAAGTCATAGGCCTGAGATAGATAGCAGAACTCTTTGGCATAGACAGGGGGGTTGGCAGAGAAGGACCCCAGGTGCTTTTCTATTTGTGATAGGTCCTGGAGGGAGAAAGGAACATGAACTCGGACCAGTCCTTCCACTCCAGCCACCTCTCAGAGAGGACAAAGGAGAGGGGGTAGGGAAGGGTGGTGTGAGAGTGTGGGAGGCTATTGGGGATGTAGGAGCGCAGGGAGTAGGTGGAGCAGAGGGTGAGGGAGGCAAGGCCAAAGGAGATGGCTCCTTGGGTGGGGAAGGTTCTGTGGGTGGGAGAGGGGGAGGGGAACCTGGATGTGATGGGGAGGGGAAGCTGGATGTGCCGATGAGAGTGGCTGTGGTCGGTGGGGGGGAGGGGTGAGTAATTCTGAGGACTCAGATAAAGGAGAAGGGTTGGGTATGGGGGAGGGGACCCAGAAGGATAGGGTGTCTGAGCGAGAAGGATCTGGGAAGAGGAACATTGGAGGCAAAGAGAGGGACGAGACCGCAGCTCCCAAAAAGCCTGTACAGATGGGACTTCAGACCATTTGTGGGTTTGGCGACAAAAATTATCAAGATCAGTGAGGATATTAAAGTTGAAAGTGCCCTGTGGAGGCCATTTTGAATTGTTATTTAAAGTATATTGTGGCCATGCTGCGGTACAATAGAAAATGAGCCATTTGTGGTGGAGGTCTGGAGAGAGTCCCAAATTTTGGAAATATGAGAGGAGACAGGACAAAGGAGTCCCTGAGTCCAGCTTGGATTGGGAGGACCCCATTCCCAAATTGTTGGAGAGTCTCAACTTTTAGAGAAGCATCCCTCACTAAAAGAGGAGACCCAGTTTGGAGGAGGCAGCCTGGACAGGGGAGACATCTCTCCGAATGCCCAGGTGAGAGGAGAAACGGAGGGGCTGATCCTGGCACAGTCGCAACTAGGACAGGGGCCCGAGGATGAACAAAACCAGGGAGGAGACTCACCCAAGCCGGAGCTGGAGCATCGATCCAGAGAGGAGGAAGGGCCTCAAGCCAGGGCCTGGCCCAGGGCCCCGACTGCCTGAAGTCGGGTGAGGCTCGCTTCCTCCTGGGTTTCGGCACCAAATGTCAGGTCAACATGGATGGGAAGGTCAAATTGAAGCCAAATAACACAAATAGGCTTAAAGCAGGCTTTATTGAGAGACGCTCTCGGGCGAGGTTCACCGTCCCCAAAGAGCAGGGCTGGAGAAGCTGCGCCCGAGAAATGGCAGCCCAGTTTTTATAGCCTGGGTGAAGTCAAGAGCTTAAGGTATTATGGGGCATTGGGATAGGTTGAGGTTGGTGGGGAGGACCTCAGGGTAATATGGATCTGTAGGATAGGTCAAGACCCATTGCCCGCCAGTGGGAGTTGCCATGGTAATTAGAGGGGAAGAGGAAGGAGGAGGGTGAAACAGGAAGTCTCTAATTGCCTTGTACAGAAGTTGCCATGGTAACCATGAAAGGAAGGAGGGGGTGGAGTGGAAAATCAAGCAGAGAGTCCCTGATCGCCATGGGGTGGCTGCCCACTGGCCAAACAATTCTATTATATCTAAATTCAATAGGTGGTTTTAAGAAATTGCCCTGGGGGCCAGCAGAGTGACTCAAGCAGCAAAGCACCTGGCTAGCATGCATGAAGCCCTGAGTTCAATCCCCAGTACCTCCAAAATGAAAAAGGAAAAGAAAGTTTTAGAAACTAGATTGTTTCCAGGGATCATCAAAATAGGTTCCCCGTCTGTAAAAAGGAGATAAGCTCACCAAAAGCACTGATGCAGTAGTGTCTACACAATTTTTGAATTGAGCTCTAAATTCGCTTGACGTTTCTGCTCATATCATCAGTTTGACTACTATCAAGATTCCAAGATGGCCACTAGAGGGAGGAAGCAGAAAGCGTGCCTCCTAAAGTAAAATCTTGGAGAGATGCTGGAGACACACCTTACAGGAAAAACCACCAAGAAGAGGCAAAACTTTGACCCCTCCACACCTCCAGCTGGCGCAGAGCATCTCCACTTCACTTTAAGCAGAGAAACCAGGAGGGCCCCCAGGCTGCAGATGGCTTGGGAAGACACGGACAAGGTGAGCTCAGCAGTACATGGTACTCCCACAGACAACCCTGGACCAGATCAGCATAGCCCCTGGACAATCCATTCTCTGACTTCCCAAGGCAGTATGCAACAATTTCTGGTTCCTGAAGAGACAGATTTCCAGTTCCAAGGTGTCTCTAGTTACAAACTTCCTATTTCCAGATCTGAGGATACCAACTTCCTGATACCAGCCATTCATGGGGTGGCCAGGGCGCTATTTCTCTACCAATTCACAGGAAATGTCTTTTAAGACCTGAGTGGACTCAGCACTTACAAGAATTTAAAGTAGAGAAATCAAGAAGAAGATTAGCTGACCTCAGAATGTATATTGAAGCATTGTAGGGGAAAAATCATAAACAAGATAATAGCTCACATTTGTTGACTTTTTTAGCCAGCCTTTCCTTCTTTTTCACGGGTAAAATTAAATCTCACACCTTCATCTGGCAATGATCATCCCCAATGTACAAAGCAGCAAACTGAGGCAGAGGAGAAATGTTTGCTTAAAGATCAGAGACGTTGTCAGTGGTGTAGCTGGACTTTGAAATCAAGTAGCCCAGATCTACTGTGGATATTCTTTTTTATTGTTTTTATTCCTTTGAATTTTTTTATTATCATATTTTGTAAATTGACATTTACAGAAGCTTTTTTTGGTGGTGGTACTGGAGTTTGAACTCAGGGCTTCACACTTTCTGGGTAAGTGCTCTACCACTTGAGCCATTCTGCCAAACCTTTTTGTGTTGGCATTTTCAAGATAGGGTCTCACACAAAATTGATATTTATTGGAAATTTTCAACGTTCTCATGAAAATCTGATTACCCATTTCCTCTGCCTGAGTTCAGGATCCTGGAGTAGCATAAGGAGATCACTATGGTAAGGGAACATTCATATATCTTGAATGCAGTGTTAGTTACATGTGACAAAATGGCATGGAAAGCACTGTACCAACTGGCCTTGCCACTGGACTATTGTTATATAAAATATAATTTTTGCAGAAGCAGTGATGATCACACAAGACTCTTTGGTGCTGTTTTTTTGCAACTTCCTGTGAATCTTTATCTCAAAATAGAAACCTACTATGCTCTTCATAGCGGCAAAAAAAAAAACAGTAGCATGATTCTTCATGTTTGAAATGTTTTCTCAAATATACAATGTCACACATTCCTATGTCAAAAGCTTTTAAGAGCCACCCTCAAAGTTTTCAGTACAGTTACTAGGAATACCAAGCAAAAATTTGAAAATAGATCTATGAGTTCCTGAAATGTTAACCATGGGACAGACTCGGGGGGATAAATATTCAGACCAGTGGTTTCCTAAGTCAGCTCAGTTAGTCACAAGTTACACATAAAACAGGAAGTACTTTTAACTCACACAGACCAGAATCAAAAGTCCTCTATGGCTTGGTTTGCTGGACTGTGGACCATGAAGAACAGACACCCAATCTTGCTTCTTCTGGGTAAGTAGAATTATGACAACAGATATAGACAAATAAAGACAGCTGAGAGACACTTATTCTGTCTGAGAATCTTCTGTCTTTTGATTTATTTCTGGCTGAGTTTTTTTTTTTTTTTTGGCGATGATCCTGGAGGTTGAACTCAGGGCCTCACACTTGCTAAGCAGGTGCTCTACAACTTGAGCTATTGTGCCAAAACTTTTTGTGTGGGGGGTATTTTTGAGATAGGGGCTTACAAAGTATTTGTGGCTTCTCCTAATCTCTGCCTCCTGAGTATCAAGGATTATAAGTGTGAGTCACAGGTGCCCAGCTCTGGCTGATTTTTTACTTCCCTGTAAGTAAGATTAAGGAAGACATTTTTTAAAGATATTTGCTCTTTTATAATAAGTTCTCCAATGAGAAAGTTACTCCTAAAAACTTAATTCCTGAGGGAAAACTTGGGGCTTTCACTATACTACCTGTATTCATCAGGGTTTGCCACAGAAACAGAAATAACAGAGTGCATGTCCAGAGAGAGCAAAAGGCATTTAATGATGTGACCCATGCAATCGTAAAGACTGATTTGGGGCTCAAAAATCCTCAGGATAGGTTTTGATGTAGTGACCCATGGAGGAGTTGATATTTAAGCTCTCATCCAAAAGCAACCAAATGCAGAACTCTCTGTTCCTCAGGAAGTTAGTCTCTTAAAGGCTTTAACTGACTATGTGAGGCCCACCCACATGTGGGGCGGTCTCTCCTTTACCAAAAGCCTACACATTTATTTGCATCTCATCTTTTAAAAATGCCTTCACATGGGCTGGAGAATGGATCAAGTGGTAGAGTGCATACTTAGCAAACCCCAGTACTGCCAAAAACAAAATGCCTTCAGACAATGTCTTAGACTAATGTTTCACCATCCCAGTACCGTGCCTGAATAAATTGACATGGAAAATTAACTGTTACACGTCCTTGACTACTTTTTTTTTCAGAAGAGTAGATAACGGAAGTCTGAAAACTCTAAGTTTTTTGGGGGGAGGTGGGACTGGGTTTGAACTCAAGGCACTTGTAAAGCAGGCGCTCTACTGCTTGAGCCACACCTCCAGTCCATTTTGCTCTGGTTATTTAGAGATAGGGAGGGAAAGGAAGAGGGAGAGAGGAAGAGAGGGAGAAAGGGAGAAAGAGAATTAGGAAGGGGTGCAGACATGAACAGAGAAGGGAGGGGGAGGTAGTGCACTTCAGTAGCAGGGGCCCCTCCCCAGGGGCCCCTGTAGAAACACTGGGAAAGCAGCAAGGACCCCTATAGCCCAGAAAGACTGGAAGGAAGGTGTTGGCAGGGTGTGGGGACCACAAGGGTCATCTTGGGCATGGATCACTTTCTGGGCCAGGCAGAGGGAGTGACTCACAAAACTCAGCTGGTCCATTTTGACATGGAGGGTGTTCTGCTGACATCTGGTCCTGGAGATGCCTGAAGCCCCCTCCCCAGACCACACAGCTTCCCCTGGACACAGGCAAAGCCTGGTGTGTGGGGAAGTTGGCTCCTCCTGGGCTGGAACATGCATCAGGCAGGATCGTGGCTGGGGATACAGCAGGCTACTTAATGGGGACGACTTTCTTTTGAGTGTCTGCCCAGAGGCATGGCCTATGAATCGCCCTCTGGTCCCTGCCTGCTCCTCACTGACCCCCTCTCTGCTCTCTTGCAGCCCTGTGCGTCTTGCTGAGTCCACAGGGAGCTGGAGCCCAGCATGGCCCTGGTGAGTCTGCTGGGAACATGTGGACCCAGGCACAGCCTGAGGAAGGGGACGTCCTCTACCTCCCCTGGGCCCCTCTGGGTGCTGCCAGCCCCACTCCCGCACTCTCTGAGCATGGTCTCTGTCCCCACAGCATGTGCTAAGTGGTGTCCTCCGAACTCTGTATGTGTCAGTGGCACCACCTGTCGCTGCAAGCTGGGATTCAGTCCACCTGATAAGCTCATCACCAGTCCCACGGGGACCTGTGACGGTACTGAGGCTGGGGCCGTGGTGGGCACACTGGGGATGGTGGGGGGACAGGAGTCACGGCTGGGGTGTCAGCCCTCAGCCTCAGACCATCATCAAAGACAGAAACAGAAAGGAAAAGAGGACAGGGGAGAGGCAAGAGTGAATAAACCTGGCTTCCTGGAGAGAGGGGACTGGGTCCCAGGAGTTGTGCCTCAAGGTGCCCACAGAACTAGGAGGGGGACACTGAGCTTCCTGCCCATCTGCCACCCTGCCACTGTCCACGGTGCCCACATCTGAGGTGTCAACCAGAGGACTGAGAGGAGCAGAGCTGCCTGTGAGGTCTTCAGGAATGGCTTGCTCCAGCTGCAGCACCGCCTCAGGGTGCAGCCCGAGACTGTGCCTAGGATCTGAATGACAGCAGGGAGTTAGGTTGGGGAGGAGCGAACTTCCCTGAGAGAAGGCACTCCTTTGGGAGGTGACCCTTTGTCCCATTGATTTGTAGACATTGACGAGTGTGCTGCACCCCTGAAAGTGTCTTGTGGCAAGTTTGCGGACTGTGAGAACACGGAGGGGAGCTACTACTGCACCTGCAGCCCGGGATATGAGCTCGAGTCCGGGGGAAAGAATTTCAGCAACGAGAGTGAGAACACGTGTCGAGGTGAGAGTCCCCTCTCCCCCCACCTCCCTTGTCACCAGCAGACAGGTCCCCTGTCACGCTGCCAAGTGGCAGGGGGTGCCAGGGCCCCAACCTCACAGCTGTGTGCATGATGTGAGGTTACTCATTCATAAACCACTGTTGACATGTGAGATGTGATAATATTATTGTAATTCACTGTAAAAAAAAAAGTGGGAAAGAATTCCCAGCCTTTAAAGATAAAAGCAAGAGTAGTAGATAGAGCGCCTGCCTAGCAAGTGAAAAACCATCAGTTCAAACCCCAGTACTACCAAAAAAAAAAAGAAAAGGTATCCTCACCTTTTGTCCACTGTGTGACCTTAAACAAGTTACTCTGCTTCTCTATGCCTCGATTTATCTGCAAAAGGGAAGTATAATAGTGTTTGCTTTTTAGCATTGCTGGGAAGGTGGAGGAGATCCAAAGGCACCTCACAAGCACCCCGACCCCCTGCAGACATGGCCAGGGCGAGCCTGGTCCCAGGATCTGTAGGGATGGCGTGCCAGTGCCCATCCAGCTTTAGGCTCCAAGCAGGGGCGCCTGAGGCGTTCCACAGGTGGAGGCCACAGAAGCCACTGAGGAGGGATGGGGCCCAGGCAGGTCAGCAGCCTGAGGAGGGAGAAGATCTGCAGGTCCCACAGGGTTCCAGGCCACCTACCCCGCTATGAACTCATCCTCAGCACTGCAAAGCCACCTCACAGTTCCTGGCACAGAAAAGGATGCGTTAGCCATGGCTTCTGAACTTTTTTGGGTGTCGTGCTTTTCCTAGAGCCCTGCAGAAAACAACCAACTAGGAGGGAGGTAGTGAGCAAGGGGCTACAAGGCCAAGGCCGGGCAGAGGGTCCAGGACGACCCTGAGGGGTGTCAGCACCCCCACCACCGCATTGCAGAAGGAAAAGAGCCCATAGCCCAGGTCCCAGTCCTGTCCCTCCAGCCCCAAGTGCAGGCAGAATGTCCAGGACAGCAGAAGTGGGAACAGGGCTGAGATGTGTGTGTCCCTACCCCGCCAGTCCATAGGGGCCCCTGTGGGAGGTCATCCACCAGCCTGGGTCAGAGGTCACAGTCTTTGTGCAAATTGGGAAGACCTCCCCCCCACACCTTCCTCGTGGACACAGCCACAGTTTGGTGAACAAAGTCGCTTTCAGCCCATCGGACTGACATCCCTGAGCACTGAGCCACCGCACAGCTGTCCGTGTGACCTGGATTCTTCTCGGCAAGCCCTGGCACAGGGTGCTGTGAGCCCTTGTGGGTGGCTGTGGTGTCGAGGAGTCACTGCTGTGACAGGAGCAAGCCAGGCCTGGAGAGGCTCCACCAGGGGACCCGGCAGAAAAATGGCTCGGCAGGGGTGAGGTGGCACACGCACCCCCTCCCGTAATGGACCCCCAAGGCAGGTGACGGAGAGTATCCTGAGGACGTGCCCACGAGGGGCAGGAGCCTGGGCTCCCGCTCTCTTGACTCCTTTTCTACTTTCCTGATACCGGGTCACCCATCTCTGTCCCATCCCTGACTCCACCAAGGGCCACTTCCGGAAGTTCTGAACATCCCCAGCCCATTTGCATCTCATTTGCATAAATCCAAAGCTCTTCCTAGCACAGTGTCTTCTCCCGGTCGCCAGTGACCACCAGGGTGACGCCAGCCCCCTCTGGGGCCCACACAGGCTCAGCTGCACCTGGACCCCCTCTGAGCCACCAGCCACGATGGACCCAAGGACCCATCTGGACGAAGGAGGGTAGAACATGGTCCCCAGCCACCAATCCTGCCTGGAGAAGACGCCTTTTGGTGCTGACCCCCTTTTTGGACACTCAGCCTCTGTCCACTCCCCTCAAGTCACCACCTTGACCAAGCCCAGCAACCCTGGTCCCCCTGGGGGCACTGGAGGACGGTGTGATTGGGGTGGCAGGGGGCATCGACACCCAGAACCACAGAGAATTGGGGGAAGAAGGAAGCTCCAGTCTGGGCCACTCAACAGAAGGAAGGTGTCACTGGGGACCCTGGCCCCTGGCAGACCCTCTCCCAAGGATGACAGCTCAGACCCCTAGGGCCAGGCCATTGGGACAGAAGATGGAAACTGGGCCCGCTCAGCAGGGCCCCCAGGTCTGTCCCTAGTGGTAGGCTAAAAAGAGGTGACTGGCACCCCTCCTGTGATGGCTCCTGTCCCCAACTCTGGCACTAAGATCTTGACCATGGCAGGCCTTGCTACAATATGGATTCTCCTGACCACCAGCTTTTGGGCTTCATGCCAGTCCATCTCCACAGCACTGGGTTCTTGGGGGTTCTGTGGATGAAAGAGCGAGTCCTGCTGAGCCCCAAATTTTCATGGAGACCTCTGCCAGTGGACGGTCCTCATGGAATCAGGAAAGAGGACACCAATGGGATCCAAGATGGCCACTTGGGGACACAGTGTCTCTGTGGCTCAGTCCCAAGAAGCCCCAAGTGGCTGTGACCCCCTGCCCCAGCTGGCAGCTGAAGAGGTCATGTGTGACACCAGAGTTGGGGCCACCACAGTCACCCTAGGATACCTCCGTGTGAAGTACAGATGGCACCCTCTCTCCAGGGAGGAGACCAGAGTCCTCCAGTTGCATCTGTGTGGGAGACACACACCAAGCCCCAGCCTGAGGCCACCACCACAAGTGTCCCTGGCCCCCTGCAGACGTGGCCAGTGCGAGCCTGACCCCGGGATCTGTAGGGATGGTGACTCGGCACCCACCGGGCTTCAGGCCCCAAGGAGGGGCGCTTGAGGCTTTGCGCAGGTGGAGGCCATGGAAGCATGGAGGGGACTGGAGCCCAGGCAGCCCGAGGAGGGACATCTGCAGGTCCTCTAGGGTTCCGGCCACGGATCCTGCTATAGACTCAGCTGCCAGGAAGGTCTCACCACAGGGCAGGGAGGTGGCAGTACCTTCTGGACCCAGGGTGCCTGTGCAGCCTCAGACCTCACCCCTTTCTCACCTGTCACCTGCCCTACAAAAAGAAAGTGTCACTTCCAGCTCTGCAAAGGGGAACCTCAGCCATGCCCAGGGAATGAGCAAGCGAGAGACCTCCGTTGGGACTCAGTTTCCCTCCTGGTTTCATTGGCCATAAATTGGGGACCATGCGCCCCGCTGTGCCCATCTTGCTCAGAGGCCAGGATAAGGGCTCTGACCGTGAAGATGGGGGTCACCGGGCGGTGGCACGTGAAAGGAAAGCCCTCGGTTTAGGGGGGAGGAGCAGCGAGGGGGAGGGGTGGGTCTGACCCCTGGCTTTGTCCTCAGATGTGAACGAATGCATCTCTGGACAAAACCCGTGCCACCGCTCTGCCCACTGCATCAACAAACCTGGAGGCCACCGGTGCCAATGCCGACGCGGCTGGAGGCCGATCCCTGGCTCCGCCGACGGCCCAGACAGCACCGAGTGCGAAGGTCCGAAGCCAGTGGCACTTCCCAGAGGCCGTAGTCACCACATCCCAGCACACTTAGCGGGACACCGGGTGCACCTGCTGGGCTAGGCATCCGTTCATCTGAGGCTGGCTGTGAAAGCCGGGGTCCCCGAGAGGGAGCTGGGCTACCAGCAGCATTTCCGAATTTTCACAACTTGTACATCTGTCCCGCGCGCCGGCCTCTCCACCCTTCCCTTAATGCCGCGTCCATCTCCCCACGGCCTGCGGGCACCAAGTGGTGGACCCAGCCCGGGGACACAGATACAGAAAGAAGGGCTGGGGACAGGGAGCGGGGAGAGGATTCCGACGGGTCTGGGGCAGGGTCTGACCCTTTCTCTTGTCCCCAGATGTGGACGAGTGCAGCTCTGGACAGCATCAATGCCACAACTCCACCGTCTGCAGCAACACCTTGGGGTCCTACAAGTGCCGCTGCCGCCCTGGCTGGGAGCCGGCTCCTGGGTCCCCCAATGGCCCCAAGAGCACAGTGTGCAGAGGTACCAGACTGAACGTACCAGAACCCTCCACCCCTGCAAACACCGCCCCCCCCTAATGAGCCCCTGTCCTGTCCCCTACAGAGATCCCACTCCCCACCTGGACCCGGCCCGCGGGAGTCCACAGCCAGGTGAGTGGTCCAGCCTGGTCCCAGAGGAGGATCCAGGAGGCAGAAAGTCCTCCAGGCAGCGCCTCCTCCACCCCTTCCCTGCATTTCCCCACCCCACTCCCCCAGGCTCTCTGACCCCTGGTGTCCTCCTGCAGAGTCTCTCCCACTTCTTGGACAAAGTTCAGAATCTGAGCAGAGACTTCAAGCCAGTCAAGGCCCAGAACATCATCCAGGTGAGGCAGGACCCACGGGAGGCCGGCTGGAGACATCCTATAAAGGGAGGCTGGGGGCGGTGAGGGCTTTGGTCCAGGAGAAGATTCCTACATTCTTGCATCCCACATGGAAAAACCCAGGCAGGACATGTGACTATAGTAAGGGAGGTAATGGAGTTTATTATAGGTGAAGGTTGTGGCATGGTTCCTGCCAGGTGGGACAGAAGAGGACTGGACTGGGGGAGAAAGGGAGGGTTCTTTGATTCATGGCATTTTTAAATTGCCAATAACCTGCAGGGTAGACCCTGGGCTAGGGTGATAGGTCACAATGCACATGTATGGGTGTAATCAGTATTCATGTTTTAAGAAGGGATTTGCAAATGAAAACAGCTCTACCACTAGCAAAGGTCACATGGAGTCTGAGTCCCAATAACTTCCTTTCTCTGCTTTCTCACCTGCCTCAGCAGTGCAGTGGGGTCCTGACATAAGCCCTGCCTCAGGACTGGCAGAAGAGGACACCTTTGGATCCAGTGCACTCCCTCTCTTTTCCCTTGCTCTAACCCAGGGTTTACATCATCCTTGACATTTGTGAAGGGAGTTGACCTTGGAGGTCTGGGTTCCAGAGACACCATGAAGTGCTACCTTTATCCCCAAAGCAGACAGTAGCTGGAGTCTGTTCTGTGTGTCTGAGCAGTCAAGGTCTTCATGCTATCCTTTTGCCCCATGGTCACTGGCTCTGTGTCCCCATCCCTCCAGGGTGTTTTGCAGGCTGTGGATGAGTTTCTGGAGACCCCTGGGGACGTGAAGACTCTGCCAGGCTCACAGCAGCACTGTGTGGCCACTCACCTGCTCCTGGACTTGGAGGGTGTCTTAAGAGTCCTGAGCCAAGCCATGCCTGAGGGGTCAGCCACCTTCAATTATTCTGCAGGCTCCGGTAAGTACCCAGGTCTGCCCCCAGCTCCTGCTTTGCCCATTCCTGCCTCATTCCTCTTCCATCCTCACTAGAGCCAAGTGACCTTGTTGTATCTCACTGTTATTCTTATTAATAAGTTAGAACATTTTAAAAATATGTAAAATCTTAAATGTTATACGTTCACATTGTAATAAATTACCAGCAGGAAAACAATTATGAAAAAGACAGAAACAAGAAAGAAACAGCTCCAGGGGAAAACTATTACTTTGGAAGAAGAGAAATTGGTATTTGTCAGTACTGGTGGCTCACACCCATAATCCTAGCTACTCAGGAGGCAGAGATCAGGAGGATCACCGTTCAAAGCCAGCCCAGGCAAATAGTTCCGTGAGACCTTATCTCGAAAAAACCCTTCACCGAAAAGGGCTGGTGGAGTGGCTAAAGGTGAAGGCCCTTCACCCCAGTACCACAAAAACAAAAAGAAATTGATATTTGATATTTAAATTTGATTTATTTTATTGGGATGAAATTCACCGTTTTAAGTCAGGTATTGTGGTAATTGCCTGTAATCCTAGCACCTGGGAGGGTAAGGCAGGAGAATCATAGTTTGAGGCCAGCCTGGGCAAAAGTTAGTAAGGCCGTGATCTCAAAAACAAACCAGGAAAAAAGTAATAAAAAATTTTTAAAAATAAATTTACTATGGGTATAGAATGAGGTATTCCATCAACAATGTTGAGAGAACTGGGTAACAATTTGGAAAAAATCAGATTAAAGAACAAAATGTAGACCACAATGCAGTAAAAGTAGAACTCAACAACAAAAGTAAAGACAAAAAACATGCAAACAGCTGGAAACTAAATAACTCATTACTTAATGAAGAATGGATCATCGATGCAATAAAAGAGGAAATTAAAAAGTTCCTAGAAGTCAATGAAAATGAAAACACAACCTACCAGAACCTATGGGACACAGCTAAGGCAGTCTTGAGAGGAAAGTTTATAGCCATGAGTGCATATATTAAAAAGATTGAAAGATCCCAAATCAATGACCTAATGATACATCTCAAACTCCTAGAAAAACAAGAACAAGCAAATCCCAAAACAAATAGAAGGAGAGAAATAATAAAAATAAGAGCTGAAATCAACGAAATAGAAACCAAAAAAACCATACAAAGAATTAATGAAACAAAAAGTTGGTTCTTTGAAAAAATAAACAAGATCGATAGACCCCTGGCAAACCTGACTAAAATGAGGAGAGAAAAAACCCAAATTAGTAGAATCAGGAATGCAAAAGGGGAGATAACAACAAACACCATGGAAGTCCAGGAAATCATCAGAGACTACTTGAGAACCTATATTCAAATAAATTTGAAAATCTAAAAGAAATGGACAGATTTCTAGATACATATGATCATCCAAAACTGAACCAAGAGGAAATTAATCACCTGAATAGACCTATAACACAAAATGAAATTGAAGCAGCAATCAAGAGTCTCCCCAAAAAGAAAAGTCCAGGACCTGATGGATTCTCTGCTGAATTCTATCAGACCTTTAAAGAAGAACTGATACCAACCCTCCTTAAACTGTTCCATGAAATAGAAAGGGAAGGAAAACTGCCAAACACATTTTATGAAGCCAGTATTACACTTATCCCAAAACCAGGCAAAGACACCTCCAAAAAGGAGAACTATAGGCCAATCTCCTTAATGAACATTGATGCAAAAATCCTCAACAAAATAATGGCAAATCGAATTCAGCAACACATCAAAAAGATTATTCACCACGACCAAGTAGGCTTCATCCCAGGGATGCAGGGGTGGTTCAACATACGAAAATCAATAAACGTAATAAACCACATTAACAGAAGCAAAGACAAAAACCACTTGATCATCTCAATAGATGCAGAAAAAGCCTTTGATAAGATCCAACATCATTTCATGATAAAAGCTCTAAGAAAACTAGGAATAGAAGGAAAGTTCCTCAACATTATAAAAGCTATATATGACAAACCTACAGCCAGCATTATACTTAACGGAGAAAAATTAAAACCATTCCCTCTAAAATCAGGAACCAGACAAGGATGCCCACTATCTCCACTCCTATTCAACATAGTACTGGAATTCCTAGCCAGAGCAATTAGGCAAGAAGAAGGAATAAAAGGAATACAAATAGGTAAAGAAACTGTCAAAATATCCCTATTTGCAGACGACATGATCCTATACCTTAAAGACCCAAAAAACTCTACTCAGAAGCTTCTAGACATCATCAATAGCTATAGCAAGGTAGCAGGATATAAAATCAACATAGAAAAATCATTAGCATTTCTATACACTAACAATGAGCAAACTGAAAAAGAATGTATGAAAACAATTCCATTTACAATAGCCTCAAAAAAAATCAAATACCTAGGTGTAAACCTAACAAAAGATGTGAAAGACCTCTACAAGGAAAACTATACACTTCTGAAGAAAGAGATTGAGGAAGACTATAGAAAGTGGAGAGATCTCCCATGCTCATGGATTGGTAGAATCAACATAGTAAAAATGTATACTCCCAAAAGTAATCTACATGTTTAATGCAATTCCCATCAAAATTCCAATGACATTCATAAAGAGATTGAAAAATCTACTGTTAAATTTATATGGAAACACAAGAGGCCACGAATAGCCAAGGCAATACTCAGTCAAAAGAACAATGCAGGAGGTATCACAATACCTGACTTCAAACTATATTACAAAGCAATAACAATAAAAACAGCATGGTACTGGCACAAAAACAGACATGAAGACCAGTGGAACAGAATAGAGGACCCAGATATGAAGCCACACAACTATAAGCAACTTATCTTTGACAAAGGAGCTAAAAATATACGATGGAGAAATAGCAGCCTCTTCAACAAAAACTGCTGGGAAAACTGGTTAGCAGTCTGCAAAAAAAACTGAAACTAGATCCATGTATATCACCCTATACCAAGATTAACTCAAAATGGATCAAGGATCTTAATATCAGACCCCAAACTCTAAGTTGATACAAGAAAGAGTAGGAAATACTCTGGAGTTAGTAGGTATAGGTAAGAACTTTCTCAATGAAACCCCAGCAGCACAGCAACTAAGAGATAGCATAGATAAATGGGACCTCATAAAACTAAAAAGCTTCTGTTCATCAAAAGAAATGGTCTCTAAACTGAAGAGAACACCCACAGAGTGGGAGAAAATATTTGCCAACTATACATCAGACAAAGGACTGATAACCAGAATATACAGGGAACTTAAAAAACTAAATTCTCCCAAAACTAATGAACCAATAAAGAAATGGGCAGTGAACTAAACAGAACTTTCTCAAAAGAAGAAATTCAAATGGCCAAAAACACATGAAAAAATGCTCACCATCTCTAGCAATAAAGGAAATGCAAATTAAAACCACACTAAGATTCCACCTCACCCCTGTTAGAATAGCCATCATCAGCAACACCACCAACAACAGGTGTTGGCGAGGATGCGGGGAAAAAGGAACCCTCTTACACTGTTGGTGGGAATGTAGACTAGTACAACCACTCTGGAAAAAAATTTGGAGGCTACTTAAAAAGCTGGACATCGATCTACCATTTGATCCAGCAATACCACTCTTGGGGATATACCCAAAAGACTGTTACTCCAGAGGCACCTGCACACCCATGTTTATTGCGGCACTATTCACAATAGCCAAGTTATGGAAACAGCCAAGATGCCCCAGCACTGACGAATGGATTAAGAAAATGTGGTATCTATACACAATGGAATTTTATGCAGCCATGAAGAAGAACGAAATGTTATCATTCGCTGGTAAATGGATGGAATTGGAGAACATCATTCTGAGTGAGGTTAGCCTGGCCAAAAGACCAAAAATCGTATGTTCTCCCTCATATGTGGACATTAGATCAAGGGCAAACACAACAAGGGATTGGACTATGAGCACATGATAAAAGCGAGAGCACACAAGGGAGGGGTGAGGATAGGTAAGACACCTAAAAAACTAGCTAGCATTTGTTGCCCTTAATGCAGAGAAACTAAAGCAGATACCTTAAAGCAACTGAGGCCAATAGGAAAAGGGGACCAGGAACTAGAGAAAAGGTTAGATCAAAAAGAATTAACCTAGAAGGTAACACCCACGCACAGGAAATCAATGTGAGTCAATGCCCTGTATAGCTATCCTTATCTCAACCAGCAAAACCCCTTGTTCCTTCCTATTATGGCTTATACTCTCTCTACAACAAAATTAGAGATAAGGGCAAAATAGTTTCTGCTGGGTATTGAGGGGGGAGGGAGGGGGTGGAGTGGGTGGTAAGGGAGGGGTGGGGGCAGGGGGGAGAAATGAACCAAGCCTTGTATGCACATATGAATAATAAAAGAAAAATGAAAAAAAAAATAAAATCTGTAGCAAAATTGTAAAAAAAAAAAAAAGAACAAAATGTATTCTCAGTGTAAAAAAAAAAAGCAACAGGTATGATGATACACACCTGAAAACCCAGCCACTAGGGAGGCGGGGGATAGGTGGACCATAGTCTAGAGCGAGTCCAAGCAGAGTTAGTGGCAGAGCCTAGCCAAAAAACCAACTAAAAAAGCAAAAGGACACAGGAGTGGCTGAAGTGGTAGAACACCAAGTGAGACCTTAAATTCAGTCCCCAGTACCACAAGAAAAAAAAATCACTATTTTAATTCACCAAGCATTCCACATTTCAATGACATTGAGAATTGAGTGCATCCACAAAGTTTTACAACCATTACCTTTATCCCTACATTTTCTTTTTTTATTTGATAGTTTTTTATTAGGATATAGTCGTTTTACAGGGTGACAATTCCAATTAAACTTACATTTTACGTTATTCACATTGCCCCATCATCTCTCCTCATCAACCCCCTCCCCACCCCACTTAAAGCAATTGCAAGAGGTTTCTTAGCTTCATGTAGATATATGATGTCCATCAACCATGCACCATCACCTTAATCTTCACTCACTCTCTCCCTCCCACTAATCACACACACACACTGTGCCTATTTTACAGTCCTGGCTTTCAGTATTAATATTTAAGCTGATATCCGAAGGGGTGTTTCAATGAATGCCCGCTGTATATTTTATTTGGTCCATTCAACCCCTTCCATTGCTCTCCTTTACTCCTTTACCTCCCACCCCCCATTTTTCAACAGCTTTCCATACACATCCTTATTTCTTCTACATTTTCATCACCCTAAAAGTAATCACTGCAGCTACCACACAATCATTCCTTATTCCTCCCTGTCCCCAGCACCTGACAACCAGTAATCCACTTTTGTTTCTCTGTGGATTCCCCTAATCTGAACTTTTAATGTAAATCAAATCGTACAACATGTGACCTTGTACTCCTTTCACTTAGCATGCTGTCTTCTTTAATTTTATCAGCATAAGATAGTTGTCCAGGGGGACACATTGTGACATTTACATATGTGCTTAAAATCTATCTTAGATTCACCTCCTCCAACGTCCTCCTCTTCCCCCCCCCCATCCTCATCTTAGAACAATTTCAACAGGTTTTGTTCTTCAATTTTCATATACGGGTACAAAATACATCCACCATATACACTCTTATTTGCCCTTTCCTTATGCCCACCCCCTCTTTCTGGTCCCCCACCCCCAGAAAAGACCATTTTTCCCTGTTTTTGAAGTTTCTGTATCAGTACATCACTCTTCTTCATGGCTGAGTAGTGCTCCACTGTATGGTTAGACCACATTTTGTTTCCTTTTGTCCACTGATGGACATATAGGTTATTCTAGGTTATCTCCACTTTGTGAGTAGCGCTGCTGTGAATATTAATGAACTGGGTTTTGTTTGAAAGATTGTTTTCAATTTCTTTCAGTATACACCTAGCAGCGAAATTACTAAAGTAACATAACTCTGTGTTCAAACTTTTGCAGAACCACCAAACTATTTTTCTAACACGGCTGTGCTATTTTATATTCTCATCACAAATGTTTAAGAGTGACAAACCCTACATCTTCAGCAAAATGGTGTTTCTTCCTCTTCTTTTGCCATGCTGGGGATGGAACCCAGAGTTCCCCCTCCCTTCACTGAGCTACACCACCAGCCCTGTTATGCGTGAGGTGGCATCCCATTGTGGCTTTCATTTGTCATTCTCCAATGACAAATGATGTTTAGTACCTTCTCGTGTTCCTGTTGGCCATTCCTGGGTCTTTTTTTGGAGAAACATCTATTTAAGTTGTTAGCCTGTTTTTGAAAGAGTTCTCTGTCTTTTGGTTGTTGACTTGTGAGAGTTTTGTTAATTTATTTTAAGAATAGACAATGATGAGATATGCAATCCAGAATTGTTGTCTTCAGTTTGACAAGTTGTCTTTGCACTTTCCTGATAATCTTTCCTGGTGATCTTTGCACCGTAGAGAACAGATAAATTTTGAGGAAGTCTATTCTGTGAGAAAATAAGGGGCAGAGAGATGCTCAAACACCAGTACAGGGTTTATTGTTCAGGCAGGAGCCCTGGGGAGGGAGACCCCAGCAAGAGAGCTGGAGCCCACTGCCACACACAAGCTTGAGCTAGATATAGGGGGCTAGTGGAAAAGTACCAGGAAGGTCACTAAGGATACTGTTGCTGGGCAACCAAGAAAGAAAATTTGTAGTTAAGTCACTGTCTGTTCAACTGTCCTTGGCATCCATCCAGGGAGTTAAAGATTAATAATTGTCCCTTTGTCAGTCTTTGGGGTTGGGTGAGAATTTCTGACAAGCCACCTGCAAGTGGGTAGGTGGTCTGGTGCTGACATGGCTGTCCTCACTGTTAACCCCAACAAATTCTGTTTTTTCTTTCATTACTTGTGCATTTGGTGTCATTGCTGAATACAGAGTCAGAAAGATACCCCTAGGTTTCCTCCCAAGTGCTAATTTTAGGTCTGAAATTTAGGTTTTGACTTATTTGGAGTTAATTTCTGTGTGGTGTGAGGTAGGAGTCCCACTGTCCCACTTGGTAAAATACCCAGGCAAAAATCCCATTGACCAATGAACATACACCTAAACAATGAAGGACAAGCACATAAAACAGGTCACATAATGGGAGAGGGAGGGTAAAAGAAGAACGTGAAGAAGATGAATATGGATGATGTACTTTCTGCACAAGTATAAATATGGAAAGTAGAAATCACCATAAGAAGGGGACTGAGGTAGAAACAAGAAAGTAGAGGGGATAGAGTTCAGATGTATAGGTTTATTTCTGGACTCTGAAACTTGTTGTCCTGTAGGTCTGTCTCCTGCCAGTAGCACACTGTCTGGATCACTGTTGCTTTGCAGTAAGATTTGAAATCTGAAAGTTTGAGTCCTCCAATTTTAACAATATTTGGGGCAGTATTCTGATCAATTGTGATGCCTTATCAATTTTAAGATGAGCTCTTCTGTTGGGGCAAAATAATATTTACACTAATGTTACTGATAACAGCCGGCTGTTGGGTTATGGATAAGGGTTTTATTGAATCCATACATCACTTTGGATTTTTTTTTCTGGTAGTGGGATTGAACCCAGGGTCTTGTGCGTGGTTAACAAGCACTGTATCACTGAGCAGCACCCTAGCCTCTGCAGATGACTTTGGGAAGTACTGCCATCTTTACAATCTAGAGTCTCAATAACTGATCGATCAAGAATGCTTTATTTCATATGCCATCTTTAAGTACTTTCAAACACATCTGGAGATTTCTTTATATGGGTCTGCAGTCTCCTTAGTTTAAATGCATTCTTAATATTGGGTTGAAGATTTTGGCATAATTTTACTGCTCTTTTTTAATTTTATTTTATTTTTATTATATTATTGTGCTGGGGATATTTTGAGACATTTACAAAAGTTCTTACAATGTATCATAGGTGAATTCACCTCTCCACCATTCTACTTTATCCCTTCTCCCCCCCATTCCTGGAATAGTTTTAGCAGATCTCATTTTTCCATTTTCATGCAAGAGTATATATTTCCACCATATTCACCCCCTACACCCCTTCCCTATATCCTCCCCCCTCCAACTGGTGCCAACCCCAACACAGGACCCATTTGCCTTTCAGTTCTCCATTTTTGTTTGATGCATTTTTGGGGAATGCATTATGTGACATACTATACTATACAAACATACTATGATATAGATTTTGAAATATAAAACATATAGTATTCATTATTATATCATATGTTACATATTGCTTTATATAATATGTACTTTACATATGATTTATATTATTGTTATATAATATAGTATAAATTATACTTTTATGAGTATATAAAATATATATATAGTATATATTGTATATATATATATATATATGTCTGTCTAATCTGACTCTTATAATTCCCCAAACTCGCAGAACTGTCCCTGGATGTGCAGGAACAAAGGGAAGGGCATGTCACCTTGAGTCAGAATAAGGCAGAGATGCAGTTGAGCTGGGATCTGGCGCAGGAACCTGGGAACAGAGGTAATATCTGAGATTAGGACAATGTCACTAAGGCCTCGTGGTAAGCACCCAATGTAAAAAACAGAGGGTTAAAAATGAAAGGAAACTGTGGGGGTAGAATGGGGCATCAATAAAGGAACCCATCTAAGGATCCAACCTTGGTCTTGTTCCACAGGCCCATCTGTGGTGGGCCTCATGTCCCTGCCAGGGATGGGCAGGTTGCTGGCTGAGGCTCCTCTGGTCCTGGAGCCTGAGCAGGAGATGGCTAATGAGATAAACAAGGGCTCGCTGCAGGTGGCCTCCCTGGTCCTGCTCTCAGACGTCATTTCAGCCTTCCTGAGCAACACAGACACCTGGAACCTCAGCTCCCCGGTTACCTTCACCTTCTCCCACCTTGTGAGTGCTGGTGGGCTGGACCACGGGTGTGGGACAGCATGAGTCTGGGGCACACCTGGCTGTGCATCTCTGAGGTTCATTGGACTCCCCCATAGAGTAGCATCATCGCACACACACACACACACACACACACACACACCAGGAAAGTCAGCCCTTTCCAAGCACTGGTAAGCATCTCTGAGCACAAGAAGCTCCAGCCCACACCTGTGTCCTTTCCTACAGCAGGTGACAACCAGCCCAAGGCATCAGGTACTCTGTGTGTTCTGGGACCATGACCAGAGTGGATGTGGTCACTGGGCCACCACAGGCTGCAGGACGATGGGCACCAAAGACACCAGCACCACCTGCAGCTGCTCCCACCTCAGCAGCTTTGCCGTGCTCATGGCCCACTACCCCACACAGGTGAGGGGACTGCGTGCGACATCTGCTGCTGTATAGCAGACACACATGCAGAGTCTGGAATAAAACTAACTTAGGATCTCACAGTTTTTGTAGGTCACCAGAGCAGCATGGGACCTGAGTTCTCTGCACAGAGTTTGTATTGTTTGGTTCTTCTTTGTTTTGTTTTGTTTGCCATATTGGGGTTTGAACTCGGGGCCTCACACTTGCTAGGCAGGTGTCCTAACACTTGGGCAACTGCATTGGTTATTTTTTAGATAGGGTCTCACTTTATGCCCAAACCAGCCTGCACGGCAATCCTCCTATTTATGCTTCCTTGCATAACTGGGATGACAGGCATGCATCACCCTGCCCAGTCATTGGGTGAGATGGGGTCTTGTGAATTTTTATCCAGGCTGGCTCAAACCACAATTCCCCTGATCTCTACCTCCTAAATAGCAAGAATTACAAATGTGAGCCACTGTGCTCTGCACCACTCTCTGAACACCAGCTCTGCATACAGTTCTTGTCAGGACTGCAACTTCATCCAGGTCCTGATGTCCTCCTCCAAGCTCCCTGGTTGCAGGCAGAATTCAGCTCCTTGTGGCTATAGGACTGAGGTCTCACTTTCTTGATGGTTGTCACCTGGAGACCACACTCAGATCCTAAGAGCCACTCACAAAATTCCAGTGGCCCTACCAAAGGCCAGCAGGAAAATATGCCTCATATGGAAGTCCTCTTGAGCTTGAACGTGTTTCTCCAAGAAGAGTCCAGATCCTCTGATTAAGCCAGGTCCACCAGGATCAACACCATATCAGAAAATCAACAGATTTGGGGGTTAAATTCCACCTGCAAAATCCCTCCATGGTAACGCCAAATAATTTTCTTGAGCACTAGGAAGGAAGGAGGGGTGTGTGACAGCAGGGGATGGAGATGTAAGGGCCAAACTGGAATTTTACTAACCACAAGAGGTGGTTCAGGAGCTCAGGAGCTGGAGAAAGGTAGACTGGGTGATAGCCAAGGTCATGGAGGGCCTGGAAAGACAGGTGGATCCACGGTCATTTTGCTTCCTCCCGAAGTCAGGGGAATCAGTCACTTTGTTTAATCAGGTGATGCCAGGTGGTGGGGCTTTTCTTATAAACACCCACATGAAAATAAGCATAAATCAAATCTCAACCTAATTCCAAACCTTGCAGACTCCCAGGGATCTGAGGGCATTCCAATACCTCATTGCTACGTATGCAATCACCACAGTTTTGTTTACTGCTATTTATTTTGTGGTTCAAAATCCAGACAAGAAAACCTGGAAGAGTGTTCCTCAGGTCCTCAGACAACCAAAGCATTCACTTTCTTCTGCACTGTGCTATGGACATTTCACCTTCCTTTAGATATAGTGAACAAATGCCTGTATTTATTTATTTAAAAATAAACGAAAGGTCTCTAGGTGATTTTTAATGCATATTAAATTTTGAGACCCTTTGGTGTAAAGACAAAAAAAAAGGCTGATTACCTTAATATATAAAGAGCTCCCACAAGCCAGGTGCCAGTGGCTTAAAGCTGTAGTCCTAGCTATGAGGGAGGCAGAGATCAGGAGGATTGTGGTTTGAGGCCAGCCTAGGCAAATAGTTTGTGCCTAGGCCACGAAATACTCAACACAAAAGCAAGGCTGGTGGAGTGCCTTAAGTGGTAGAGTGCCTGCCTAGCACATGTGAGGCCAGTACTGCAAAATATTACTCCCTTTACCCAAGAATCTGATTGTAAATGTGTGGAGCAGGCACTGCTCAATTGAGACAAGTAGTGTCTGTGGTGGGGCGTCCAGCCCTGGACATCCAGGTACAGATTCTGCTGTGTGGCCCCATGTGACTGGGACAGAAGAGCATCAACCTCAGCCTGTTGGTACACACACACACGCGCACACACACACACACACACACGCACGCCTCCCGCATGCACACATGAGCTTAGCTAACCCACGTCATGGGCTTTGTCCTGAGAAAGGACCCTCTTCTACCTCAGCCCTTCACGGAGCTTGATCCATCTTTTCAAGAATGCCTCCAAGGCTTCTTAAAAATCTAAACACAGATCTACCATATGTTCCAGCAATACCACTCTTGGGGATATACCCAAAAGACTGTGACACAGGTTACTCCAGAGGCACCTGCACACCCATGTTTCTTGCGGCACTATTCACAATAGCCAAGTTATGGAAACAGCCAAGATGCCCCAGCACTGACGAATGGATTAAGAAAATGTGGTATCTATACACAATGGAATTTTATGCAGCCATGAAGAAGAACGAAATGTTATCATTCGCTGGTAAATGGATGGAATTGGAGAACATCATTCTGAGTGAGGTTAGCCTGGCTCAAAAAACCAAAAATCGTATGTTCTCCCTCATATGTGGACATTAGATCAAAGGCAAACACAACAAGGGGATTGGACTTTGAGCACATGATAAAAGCGAGAGCACACACGGGAGGGGTGAGGATAGGTAAGACACCTAAAAAAACTAGATAGCATTTGTTGCCCTCAATGCAGAGAAACTAAAGCAGATACCTTAAAAGCAACTGAGGCCAATAGGAGAAGGGGACCAGGAACTAGAGAAAAGTTTGGATCGAGAAGAATTAATTTAGAAGCTAACACGCATGCACAGGAAAGCAATGCGAGTCAACTCCCTGTATAGCTATCCTTATCTCAACTAGCAAAAAACCCTTGGTCCTTTCTATTACTGCTTATGCTCTCTCTTCAACAAAATTAGAGATAAGGGCAGAATAGTTTCTGCCTGGTAGTGAGGGGGGAGGTAAGAGAGGGGACGGGGGAAGGGAGTAGAAATGACCCAAACATTGTATGCACATATGAATAAAAGAAAAAAGGGATGTCTCCAAATCTAAAACTGTGCTGTGTGTGAAGACAGTAGGCGGTTGAATAAGAGGGGAGCAGGGTGACAGAGAAAGAGTAAGCAATACAGGGGTCCATCTGGCTAAAGCACGACGCACACGTGCGAAATATGGAGGCGAAAGCCCTTCAACGGTCACAGTGCACTTAAACACAGGAAGGACAAGAAGGTACAACAGGTCTTGTCCCCGGGGTGGGCATCAGTGGGAGAGAAGAGCATGAACACAGAGGGTGAAGGACGGCGAATGTGGTCGATGTACTCTGTGTTTGAAAATAGAATAAGGAAACCTGTTGAAATTGTTCTAAGAAGGTGGAGGGGGGATGAGAAAGAGTGATGGAGGGGGTAAATTTAATTAAGATACGTTGTAAGCACATATGTAAATGTCACAACGTATCCATTGTACAACCAATACATGGCAATAAAAAAGAAACTCTACAGCTCTGAATCTGTAGTCACTTACCCACCAAATTCAATACTTACCTGGTCCCCACAGTCTAGAATTTTTTGAGCCACATAACAAGAATGGTGGGGGGACCACTAACCCAGAGAGGACAGTGTGACCATGCCCTCTTCTTTTGGGACCCAGGAGGAAGACCTGGCGCTGACTGTCATCACCTATGTAGGGCTCAGCCTGTCTCTGCTGTGCCTCCTCCTGGCGGCCCTCACCTTCCTGCTGTGCAAGGCCATCCAGAACACCAGCACCTCGCTGCACCTGCACCTCTCCATCTGCCTCTTCCTGGCCCACCTCCTCTTCCTCACGGCGATCGACCGAACGGAGCCCAAGGTACTGGTGGAGTCCCAGCTCCTGCCCTGCCCCAGGAACTACACCTTGGGTTCTGGGGCAATTTAGAGGGGTAGGTACCAATTTCCCATTGTCTGACTCAACTAGAAAACAAATCCTCCAGTTTAAAGCTCCTTCATACGTGGCTATACACTGTTTAACGAAAGGAGTTGCATCATTGGACAGTTTTGTCATTGTGGGACTATCATAGAATGCACTTGGTGTAGGACAATCACAGATGTGACCTCCTGATATAATCAAGGTAGACAGTAAGGTGGAGATGATGTATGAAGCTGCTACTGGTGTAAACTTTAACAGGAAAATGTTTCATTATTTTCTTGGCTGTACTGGGATTTGAATTTGGAGCTTTAGGCTTGCAAAGCAGGTGCTGTTACTACTTGAGCCACTCCACCAACACTTTTTTCTGTTGGGAACTTTCTTTTTTTTTTTTTTTTGTGTTTGTAACAAGGAAACAAATTATTGATTTTAAAAGAAGACACCATTTTGTTTTGAAAAACACAAGAAGCTAGCCTGAGTTCAAGTCTGAAATATTCAGAAAATCCTACTAATATCTTTAGTATGTTCCAGTCATTTGTTTAAACAACACACTAAAATTTAATATATATTTTATATTAAAAAGTTCCCCGTATTTACAGTACACAATACAAATTTGCCCACAAACTATTACTAGCTCCTGCCAATTTTGAGAGGACATGATATACTAAAAGATTTAGCATTTCTCACAAAAAATCACATCAGGAATACGTATTTACAAAATCAAAATACATTATACAAAAAACCATCACATGTTATTCGGTAAGATGTTTTTAAATAATTAAAAAGTTTATGCAACTGTAGCCAAAAACTGGAAAAGAACATTACATTATCTCACACATACAATCTCTACAAAAGTTGCTTTACCTCATTTACATAATATATTCAGTTGATTGTAAAATAAATGTGAAATATTCTCCTAGTGTTACTATGTTTCTGCTTGTGGACTGAATAATGTAATCTGCCACTTACTAAGTGAAATTTAAATGATGGCACTTAAAAAAAATACATAATCTTAAAAAAAACACAATGAAAGAAGTTTTTAACCTAGAAGGTACGAAAGCCCTGAGTGATAGTAGAATTACTGATTGTGTAAGCACTTTACCATTTTAAGCCTAATTAAAGTTTACCACCTCAGGCACAAAATTTCAAGTTTTCTCAAGGCACACACTTAAAGTTTCTGTAACCAACACATTTGGTCACCACCATAGATCGCAAATTGATGATGAGATGAGTAGAGAAAAAATTTGCTTTGGTACAAAGGTGCTTTTTAAAGTGAATAATAATTCCAGTACCTCCTTTTATTGGGTCATTTAAAATTGTGTCAGCAGTGTAAAACAAGGCAATCATTTGTTCAAAATAATAATGTTATTGAAGAAAAATTTACTTGCGTATCAACAGTTTTAAAATTTTTCTTTCCTCCCAGAATCAAAATTCTTCTAAC